AGGGTGGTTGTCCCCCCAGGAGTTGGCTTCCCTGGTCTGTCCAAGGGTTTGAGTGTTTTATGGTCGGCTGTACTTGGGTCTCAGCAAGCTGGGTTGCCATAGTTTGTACTGAGTAATCAGAGTTTGTAAAGGTGCTTTGGAGCAACAGGGCCTGGTATACAGCCTGTCTCGGCACAATGGAAGGAGTTCTCAGCATTGGTCATATGTCTTGTAATGCTGGATACACCAGTGGATGGCTAACCAGGTATTCGGGGTGCCATTGGTTATACTGTTGGGTGGCATAATCAGTTGCTGCTCACTTCAGGATTTCTGCTCATTTATTAGTTTCTGAATGCATGTATAATTGTCCTATCTGTGATACTACCCAAGTAGCATTGTGCTATAAGAATCTTACTCTGTGCAGGTAATACTCCTGGTACTCCTGTATCCTCTCTTCTTGTGCCAGCCTCCTTACTTCTTCTTCGTCTGTGTCCTCTTGTTCATCATATGGTGGCCCCCTGGGGGGCCTGCTATCCTCTGTTTCTTCTTCCTCAAGAAAGGAACTGATGGGCCAGGCATAAATGTTCTCTGTGACCCCTTGCAGGACTGTCATTTCACTCTCCTGGCTGGATACTCGGTCCAGCAGTTGCGATGACTTCATAGTTGGCAGCAGGTTGGCTTCCAATGGATGCATTGTATTGGTTTTCTCCTATCACTCTTGCCGCCTCCACTCGCTTGCGATAGAGGCAGATATTGTGTCTAGTCATTGTTGATAAGCTGCCCAATCACTCTACTTCCAAGAAAGCCTCAGAGAGCATGGGTGGAGATGTGAGCATTTTCAGGAACCTGTAGTCCATAGTGTCTAAGGATGGACTTGTTGCTCCTGAAAGTAGTGTCAGCACTAGGGGTTCAGGAGAAGAGGGGGTATTTGGGGGTTGGGGCTCTTAGGTATCATTGGGTTCTGGTGCCATCTGCCCAGTGCTCTGGGAATCCACTGCTTGGAGTACTGGATTCATGAAAGATGGGGGCTGAGGCAGAGGGGTTGGCCTGTGCAGAGGCAAGAATACTGATGCTCTCAGGTCAGAGCCCGTACCAGTTGCTGATGTTGGCCCTGTCCAGTCTGGCTCTCTCAACTGTCCACTGTTTATCCCTGTGGAGCTCATCATACTGAGCCGCCTCCTGCCTCTGCTGCTTATCTTCCATGCTTGTTCCTTCTGACATGTGACATACTAGCTGCAGCTCATTCCACTGCCTTTGCTCCTCCTGTCGAATGACGTTGTCATAGTCTAATGGGATAGTGAAATCCCAGGTGGAGAAGTTCTGATGGATGGTCTCTTCCCATATCTGTTATTGCTGCTCTTCTGCTGTGAGAACCCGCTCTATCCTGAGGCTAGTCCTGGTGGGGGGACAGGAGCTATCAGGCTGGCTTCGAGGAGTTTTGGGGCAGGATTGTCGAGCTATCCAAGGGGCATCGAGAGAGTCTCTGGCATGGTCAGCAATCCCATAGGTACAGAAGGCAGAATTGGAGGAGGGGGACTGCTGGAAGAAGTCTTTTGAGAGGTCTTCATCTTCATAGTTGAGGGGTGGTCCTCATACAAGTATACTGTTCCTTCCTGGGATGCCAGGGTCTATGTTTCTGGATCGGGAGGAGCATTGCCTTCCCACTTCTTCTTGACCATCCCTTAGATGCATGCTGCTAGATCTGGCCTCTGGGAGTTGGTAGGTCGTTCTTCGGGATTTGGAGATGTCATAGAGGGAAAGGTCAGAGGTTATATTGTGTAGTATATCACAGATGTGTAGGAATTCGTTGTAATGTCTGAGAGCCCAGGCAGTGATTGAATAGTGTCCCCAGCACAGCTGGATGATTACCAACAATCCTATCAATGTTCTGATGATGGAAGCGAGGAGTTCAAAGAACTTGTGATTGAAGTTTGGGTCGGTAGAGGTTGTAGAGAGCATTCGGTTTCTTAGCACAATTGAGCTTGAGAAAGAGAAGAGGAAGCTTTGAGCTAATTGTTAGGCCCAAGCATCACGTGAATAAGACCACATGATAAACAGCTGTCCCTTTGCACTTTGAGGGATCAGCTGAGTCCACAGAGTTGGTCTTCTTTCTGTGTGACTCAACGTCTTGTAGACTCGAGATAAATTGGTAGTTATAAACTTTAGCTCGAAGCTGGGGTATACCAGTGAGAGCTGTGGGTCTTAAATACTATACAGGCTATGCTAATAATATCCCTACTAATTGTGTTCATCTGTATCTATGGTGCCCATTGTCCTTGAGTATCATTACCATATATAAAAGGGTGCTTGTGTGTCATCGAGCATTGTTGTCTAGGCTGACTTGATGGGTGGGTTAGTTATGATGACTAAGCTATCCCACAGTCCTATGCATTCTGACTAAGCATAAATAAGAGTAAAATCATAGAAATAAGGGAAAAATCATAACAGAATACAGCAAGTGAAAGCCAGTTAGCCCAGTCATCCTGTTAATAGTTAATAAACATATAGAAATACTTCTTAATTCCCTGGTTGACCCACTCCATCTGCCCATCTGTCTGTGGATGATAGGCAGTGGAGACATTACTTCAGATCTGGAGTAAGTAATACAGGTCTGTCATAAATTTAGAGATGAACTGTGGTTCTTGGTCTGAGATCACCATCTGCAGCATATCATGCTTTGCATACACTTCATCCTGTAAAATCTTTGTCCATCCCTCTGATAACAGCTCTATCAAACATGCAATCAATATGATCATCTTTGAAAACCAATCAACTATGATGATAGCATCATAGCTATGATATTTCAGTAGTTTGATGACCATATTCATGGAGATATAGGTTCATGGGGCATTGAGTACTTCATTTGGGTGCAACAGGGCTGTCTTTGCCTGAGTGCTCAACTTGGTGTGCTGATAGGTTTCACAGGCCTTAACATACTTTTCTATGTCTGCTTTCAGTTCCAGCCATTAATACTCTCATAGTATCAACTCTATCATCTTTGTAATTCCTAGATGCCTGGCTATGATATGGTCATATGACCAGGCAATAATTTCTCTCCAGAGAGTGTGATCCTGAGGTATATAGATCCTTCTATTATAATAGATCAAATCTCTCTCCTTCATCATTTTTTGATCATAGTTGATCAATAGAGCCATCTTCTGATCTTATAGTTTGATCTGTTGAATAGCACTTTTGATATACTCATACACCTCTTTCTCTATTAGCATAATCATCACTCTGAAGTGCTCTATCTTGAACACTACTATTTCTTTATTGTTGTTCTTCTCTTAGTCATAGTTAGTATGTCAGCTGAGGAGGTTTGCCTTTTTGTTGGCAGTTCCTGCCTTATGCTGAAGAAGGAAGTTGTATTCAGCTAACTCAGTGATCCAATGGGCCTGTCATTGGTGATGTGCTTGGTAATAGCTAAGTGACTAAGAGAGGTGAATGAGGAATGAACTCTCAAACACCAACACCTAACCACTCAATACACTATCACCAAATACAATTGAGGTTGGTTGTTTTGAGTACAATAGAAGCACTCTTGCAGTCTTAAATAAAATCAAAGAAATAGTCAATAAAGACAGTTATTCAACTCTATCTTGCTTTCTAAGATGCAATACTTGTGAGAGTAGTTTATTGCAATGTTTAAGTACAATTAGAACTTAGAATCAATGCACAATTGCACTCCAAATCAACTTAGAATATTTTGAAACTCAATAAACTCTGAAACACAAATACCAAGTCTATCAAGCACTTAGGCTTGACTAGCTGCACTCTTGGCTGACTAGCAGTCTTCAAAACCAAAGAACTTGTATTCTGATGCTGAAACCCTTATATTTTGGAACCCAAATTAATCCAAAACCTAAAATACAGTTAATATTCTAATCTAATCCTCTCTAAGTGACAAAGCAACTTAAATAAATCATTAAGCCAAAGCAGAACTCAAAAACTGTTGTTCCAGAGACTAACTACAGTGAGCTAGAAGGCTTGAATGTGGAGGTGAGTCACTTGCTTGCTATTTCTCCTCCTCTTCTCTACTTTTATACATTAAAAACAGATACAGAATCTATAAATAAAGTGTCCAAAATAATATTTCTTCTGTTTGAAGTGGGATCAGACCACTATTCTAGATTGATAGCACTCCTGGACTCTCTTAGGTCTGTCCAGATCTGCCTGGTCACCACACAGCTTTATTTTAAGCTTGCAGTGTCTGTAGGTATTTAACTTCTTTCTATTTACTCAGAGTTTTATCTGTCTAGGCTATTTTTAGTAGCTTGATTGATCAGGTCTGATCATACTTGTTATGATTTCACCCTTTTTTTACTTCTTTAACCCCTATTTATGCTTAGTCAAAGCATCTAGACCTGGCACCTAAAGACTATGGGACAAGGCTTAGTCAGCACAACAGGCCCAGACAACCATTTGTCTTCAAGTCATCAACAACAACCAGCAACACACAAAAACCCTTTTATATACAGTAATGATGCACAAAGGCAAGAGAACAAGAAGCAGAAGAAACCACAATGAGATGTATAGTAATAATAGCATGACATATACAGTATTTAAAAAGCTCACTCTTGCTGGATAAGACCCAGCTTCAAGCTAAAGTTTATAACCATCATTCTATCTTGAGTCTATATCTGACCTTGAGTCATAATGAGTACGAGTACACATTCAGTGGACTCAGCTGATCCCTCAAAGTGCAAAGAGATGGCTGTTTATCATGTGTATTCACTCATGTGATGCTTGAGTCTAACAATTAGCTCAAAGCTTCTACTTCCCTTTCTCAAGCCCAATTGTGCTGAGAAACCAAATACCCCCCACAAACTCTACCGACCTGAATTTCGACCATGAGTTCTTCGAACTCCTCTCATCTATCATTGGAACATTGATAGGATTATTGGTGATCATCCAGCTGTGCCAGAGATGCCATTCAATCACCGCCTGGGCTCTCAGACACTACAATGAGTTTTTACATATTTGAGAAATCTTATGCAATGTAACCTCTGACCTCCCCCTTCATGACATCCCCGAATCCCAACAAACAACCTACCAGCCCCCAGAAGCTGAACCTAGCAGCCTGCATCCAAGAGATAGTGAAGAGGAAGAGGGAGGACAACCCTGCTCTCGACCTGGAAACCAGGATAGTAGCATCTCAGGACAACAAGGGATCCTTGTTTCAGGACCCCCTCCTGACCATGAAGATGAAGATCTCTCAGAGGACTTCTTCTGCCAGTCCTCCTCCCCCTCTACCACCTCCCAAACCCATGGGATTGCTGACAATGCCAGGGACTCTCTCGATGCCCCTCAGATGGCTTGGTGACCCAGCAACAGAACTCCTTGAAGTCAGCCTGCTAGCTCCCACCTCTCCATCAGAGCCAGCTCAGGGATGGGCAGCCCCTCCCTCAACAATAAAGAGCAGCGACAATGAGTATAGGAAGAAACTGTCTATTGGTACTTCCTGATCTGAGACTTCACCATCTCCTTCAATTATGATGACACCGTTCAACAGGAGGAGTAAAGGCAGTGGAATGAGCTGCAGTCAGTACATTCAGAGCCAGAAGACCAGCATGAGCAGCAGAGGAGAGAGGCCATGCAGTATGATGAGTGCTATAAAGACAGGCAGCGAGAGGTGGAAAGGACTTGACTGGCAAGGGCAGACATCAGTAATTGGTATGGACTCCACCCCGAGGTCGCCAGTGTCCTCGCACCCATACAAGCTGACCTCTTGGCCCCAGCCAACATCTTCAGGGAGCCCAGTACCCCAAGCAGTGGAGTTCTGGAGCATTGGGCCAATGGCACAAGAACCTGACAACATGGGAGCCCCCTGACTCCTCAATATCCCCCTTCTGTTAAGCCCAAACTCCACATGACTATTAACACATGATAAACAGTTCAGAACCTCGCACTTTGGGTTAGACTGACTGAGTTCACTGATGTGTTAACAGAGGTGTGTGGTCAAGGCATTTGCAAGTCGCTTGAGATAGGATGGTAGAGAATAAACTTTAGCTCAAAGCTGGGGTATTACAGTGAGAGCTATGCTACTTAAATACTGTTCTGTTATTGTGCTATAAATAAATGTTCATAAAAGATATTGTCTGCTGTAGAGCTGTTACCCCTGCTGTTGCCAGGCTCTCCACAAAAGCTGTTGTCTTGCTGTTGTGCTCGTTATCGTTGCAGTGCAAGATGGGACAAAAGAAGTGTTGTCTCTCTCTTTACAGCACACAGCAATGCACTGGGAGAGTGACCAACTGGGCTGCTGAGCTAAGCATTCCCATAGTCCTAAGCACTGGCCTAAGCACTCTGACTAAGCAAAGATAGGGGTCATTTCTGAGGAAAAAGAAAAGAAAATGGAAAAAATCATAACACCTTCCTCATGAACCCCTAGCGCTGATTCCACCTTTGGAAGCGACAAGTCCATTCTCAAGCACTACAGACTATGAACCCCAAACACTGCCCACATCCTCACTCGCATCCTCCAAGGCTTTTTCAGAAATCGAGTTGTTGGACAGCTCATTAACAATGACTACAGAAACAACATCTGCCTCTATCGTGAGTGAGTGGAGGCAACAAGAGCTACAGAAGGGAACTGGTATGACTCTAATATCAGAAGTCGACCAGCCTCTGTCTATGAAAACATCTCAATATCTCCTATCACTGGCCCGAGTACCCAGCCAAGAGAGTGAGACAATGATACAGCAAGGGGCTGGGGAGAGCATCTATGATCAGCCCATCGATTTCCTTCTCAAGGAGGATGATGAGAACGAGAAAGGAGGAATAGAGAGCAATGATCCTCTAAGAGGACCACTATACGATTCACAGAAAGAAATGGACCAGAAAGAAATAGTGAAGCTAGTGCAGGAAGAGAGGATGTGAGAGTACCAAGAGTACTATGTGTGCAGAGTGAACTTTCTATAGTGCGATGCTGCTTGGGCAGCATCGCAAATGGGACAATTATATTTGTATTCCAGCACTAATGAAAGGACAGAAATCCTGAAATGAGTGGCAGCAGACTACACCACACAATAGTATAACCGACAACATCTGGAGTACTCGATGCGCTGATCTCTGGCATATCAAGTAACATTCTCCATAAAACCAATGCCATAAACTCCCCCTATGAATCTGCAATAAGCTGTATACCAAGCCTTATCAATCTGGAGCTGGATTTCGGTCACCGACCAACATACCCAGCTCATGGCAACTCGGCTAATCAGGTGACAATCTCAGCCTGAGGAAGGAGTTTGAAATCCATGGACCAGCAAAGGCAGCCAACTTCTAGAGGGACAACCACCCTCCGACCAGGCAGAGACTAGTGGAACAGGAAAAGAGCCCATACAAGATGATCCTGAAGCAGTTCACTTAGAATTCATGGTCTGAGACAGAGTCATTGTCCAGATAGAGAAACCAAAGGGCAGTTTGGTAGCCAATGATCAGTCCCTTCATTCATTCCTCAGGCCTCCTGCAGAATGGCAACAACTGCCATTCTCTGGATGGCCAAACCTGATGGGCACATTACCAGAAAATGCCAATGTTCTCCAATGCCATCCTGACCTTCTTCAGAAATCCTGTCCATTCAAAGAGGCTTCAGATGACATTGACAGATTCCTAGTAGACTGTGAACAGTATTTCGAAGTCTACATCAGATACCTAGGGATGGACATGAACAAAGTAGCCTTTGCAACCTTTTATCTGAAAGAGAAGGCAAAGACCTGGTGGATTCTTATATCCCCAAACTTCTAATCAACTATGAGGGAACATTACTGATACCCTTCCTGGCCAGTGTTCAAACAAATGTTGAACAACAAATTTATTGATCCCATGGTACAGGAAGTACACAAACAAAAGATTAAGGAGTACAAAATAGGAGATAAGATGGCAACAGATTATTTCAATGAGCTGGAGTGGCTCACCAAACTAGCTGGAATATAGGATGATGTTGCCAATGATGGCTGAATGGTCAAGGCCCTCAAACAAGAAGTCCCTCCTTCATACCTCATGATGATCTCCACAATAGGCATCAAAATTCTGATGCTCCATGGATACAATGAATGGAAGGAGCAAATCATCGAAATGTATAAGGAATGACAAAGGCAGAAAGCAGAGTCCACAATGCTACAAGAAGGCATGAAAAAGCTGACACCACCAACCCCAAACAAGTCAGAGACAACTGCTGGGAAATCACCAGGACCCTCTATTGCCTCCTCCTATAGTTCCCAGAAGACTGAAACCAGGACAATCTATACTGGCACAGGAAAACCAATGGACATTGATCGAATGAAGAAAGAAGGGAAGTGCTTCAACTGCAGGCAGAAGGGACATATGGCCAAGGACTGCCCAAAAAAGAAGCACACTAGGGAAGACATCCATGCCCAGATTGCTGAACTGCAAAAGGAAGAAGAAGAATTGAGCACAGAGACAAAAGTCGAAGAAGTAAAAGAAGGGGCCAGCCAGTGAGTGATTCCACTGAACTGGCCAAACAAGCAAAAGGTGTGCCCCTTGTAGCTGATAGTTGGACTCATAATACCTCTGTAGTTACCACCATGTCATCATTACCTATGCATTCAAATATACTCTGATCAATGACTACAAACATCTTTGAATTGCAAGAAAAAACTTAACTGCCTCCAGGCTGAACAAGAGCAGAGAGCCCCATATCCTGGCTCAAACCGTTCGACACTGAATGGACCTGGAGGGCCATCAGAGAAGCAAAAACAGAAGAAGTGGCAAAAGCCATATTAAAGAACTGGATTCATTAAACTCGAACAGAGGAGGTAACCAGCAAAGTAGTGGATGGGATCAAAGGAGCAGAATGACCCCAAGCCCTTGCATGGCTGGACGAGTTGCACAGACCCAGAAAATTCATCTGATGCTCCAAGACCCCTGGTCGAGATCTAACAGCAAAAGCCCAGATTGAGACCTTAACATCGTGGACAGTACACTCCGTAAACACCCTAATAGACAGTGGTTGCACTGGGAGTTCCATAAACTGGGCTTTCATTGACAAGTACCACCTCCTGACCCAGGCAACCACAGCCCCTATCTCAGTATACAATGCTGATGGAACAAAAAACCAAGCTGGGTCAATCACCAAATTCATCGAAATCTGACTCACTATCAGAGATCACTCAGAACAAATTGACTTAGCCATGACAGACCTCGGGACCAAAGAAATCTTCTTGGGCCACAATTGGCTCATACAGCACAACCCATTGGTAAACTGGAAAACTGGGTGAATCACATTTGCTCGATGCCAATATCGAAAAATCCCATTTGAATTACCCGATGAAGACCCAGAAGACTGGTGGGATGAGGAGATGGAGGATGGGGAAACTATCCTTGCTGTTGACCTACAGAACAAGATGCATGTCCAGGCCATCTATCATGCTAATAACCTGGCAGCAAAAGCTAATGAAGAGAAAGAGGAGAAAGCCTTCGAAGAGATGGTACCGGAATGGGCATGAGACTTTCAGGACCTCTTTAAAAAGGAAAGCTTTGATGAGCTCCCAGCCTCAAAGCCTTGGGACCACATGATCAAACTGATCCCAAATGCCAATGCCAATCTAGACTGCAAAATGTATCCACTCAGTAATCAGGAACAACAGGAGCTCAACAAGTTCCTTGATGAGAACTTGTCCAGCAGACATATTCAACCCTCTAAATCCCACATGACATCATCTTTTTTCTTTGTTAAGAAGAAGGACAGCAAGCTTTGACTGGTCTAAGACTACTGGAAGCTAAACGAGATGATGATTAAAAATCATTACCCCCTTTCTCTCATCTCAGAACTAATAGATAAACTCCAAGGCACTAAGTATTACACCAAGCTTGACATCCAATGGGGATATAACAACATTCAGATCAAGGAAGAAGATGAGTGGAAGGCTGCCTTCAGAATGAATCAGAGATTGTTTGAGCCTATTGTCATATTCTTTGGACTCACCAACTCCCCTGCCATGTTCCAATGGATGATGAATGACATCTTTAAGGATCTCATGGCCACTGGAAAGGTTATCATCTATCTGGATGATATTCTAATTATGTCACAAACCAAGGAGAAACACAGAAAGCTAGTGTGGCAAGTACTGGCCCTGATAAGGAAGCATCGATTATTCCTCAAGGCAGAGAAGTGTGAATTTGAGGTGCTTGAAATGGAATACCTCAGTGTTATCATCAGTGAAGGAAGCATTCAGATGGATCCAATTAAAGTGGCTGGGGTAACAGAGTGGCTGGAACCAAGCAAGAAAAAGAAGCTACAATCCTTCTTTGGGTTCACAAACTTTTACTGATGATTCATTCAGGACTATAGTAGAGTGGTGCGCCCTATGATGCAACTCATTGGGAATGCTCTGTGGACCTGGGGACTCTCCCAGCAGTCTGCATTCAATGATCTGAAATGATGCATAGCTGAAGACGTCATACTCGCCATCTCCATCCAGGAAGGAAGGTTCAGAGTCAAAGCCGATTCCAGTGAGGAAGCAATTGGCACAGTACTTTCTCAGGAACAGATGGGAAAATGGCACCCAGTCGCGTTCCTCTCAAAAGCCCTCACTGTCACAGAAAGGAACTATGAAATTTATGACAAGGAGCTATTAGCAATAATGCTATTTCTGGAGGAGTGGTGATATTATCTAATTGGCATCACCAAGGTCTTCGAGATCTGGACAGACCATCAGAATCTCAGGTATTTCTGGCAACCCCAGAAACTAAATCGCCAGCAAGCCTGCTGGGTCACAGAACTCAGCTAATACTAATATACTCTCTATCACAAAGTGGGTTTGGCTAATAAAAAGGCCAACCTCCTTAGCTGATGTGCAGACCATGATCAGGG